GGGGGATGTTAAGACCATCGACCCTATTGGATCATAAGGCCGCTTTGCAGTTGGTTATTTGGGCTTTAGGCCTATTGACTGCCAGGGTCATTAAGGGTGTCAACGTGTTGAAACTCCTCACCCATTACTGAGAATATGCGTGACTGGAATAATGAAGTGCGTGGCGCTTGATTGGTTGCTGTGCAGCTTAGAGGGAACACTGATATATAGTAATCAACTGTATAATACATTTACTAAACAATGCTGCACAACTGTCCACGCATCCTTCAAAATACAAAAACATGTCTAGATTTTATGATAAACCAAATCAAACATTGAAAGTCACAAAACTGTGATGCACATGGCACAAACTGAACAATATTCAATGTTTTTAACATGATTTAACAAAACTTTGTAAAAAGACTTGATCACATCATAGTATTGCATGTTTTTAATCAAGCAGTTATTTCAGTAAAGCAGTGGTACTCTGTCTTGGGATCCACTTACAGACGTCACTTGTTTGATCCATCCAAGAGACTTATCACTGAAACTTACTGGAATAACACATACTTACACAACAGCCGTAACACAGTTTCAACCACTTTAACTCCACACTGCTTTAACTTGTTATTGATATGAGAGATTCACATCGCATGAAAAATGTACCTTTAAATACCATTTGGTCTTGAATACTTCCCGCAGTTTTATTCATTTAATCAAAATATATTCTTCATTTGAAAATAACTTTTAAGACAATATAAGAAATTAATTAGCCTAGACCGTAGGTGATAACCAATAAATAACTTTCTAGTTTACATACGTATATATTATTTATGGAATGTTTAGTTTTTTTGCCATCCTCGAGGATCATAGCTAAGCCTAGTGGAGGTAAGAAAAAAAAAGGCATGTAATAAGGAAAGGCATCTTTGTAACCATGGGACAATACTGACCACATCAAACAACTATACACTAAAAACAAAATATCATAAAAAAAAACACGAGACCACACTATCTTATTGACTTACTAAAAACTTTTATAAACTTAAAACTGTACGAGACCTACTACACTGCAAGTATGCAGAGAAACTAAGGAACAATGGAAAAAATTAAATTTTTTTTAAGAATAGCAGTTACGTAATTATATTTTTTTTCACTAATTTCGTATTTCTAAAATTTATTCAAATTTGTGGAAGCCATGTACTTCAGAACAATAATATTGATATGTTTTGTATACTGGTAAATTACCTAAAATAAATAAACTTTATTTTTAAGAAATAATACTAAACACTCAAATTGATAGTTTAAAAGTATATTCTCTAAGCATTTCTTTTAAGATTACTATTACGATCCCGGTCAGTCAGAAACCCGCCCAAAATTATAGTTTTTTCGCCGGAAAAAAAATTAAAGTTTCAGAATCATTTTTTGCATGTAAAAATACCATAAAAACTGGACAACACTGCCGTACGTAAAAAATTCGGCTGTTTCGAAACCAGTTTTCCGGCAAGGGCCATGTGAAGAACATAAATACAAAAACAAAAGAAGTTGTGAAATGTGTTTACATTGTGATCCCCCAGCTACACGTACAGCAAAACATTGTCATGTTATACACCAAAGTAGACGTGGAGTAGTGCAACAGTTGCAAAAGTCAGATAAAATGAGAAGGATGAAGGAGAGCAAAATGTTGTTATGGAAATGTGTGCTGAAGAGAGGGTTTCGTTACAAGATTTGGGCACTGAGATTGAAGACGTACTAGAAGAAATCTAGAAACAACTTTATTCTCACTAATTATGCATTGAAATTGATTAATAACACCATTGGAACTAATATAACTCCAATATTTGCTAAAATCAAAGCATTCCGAATATTTCCTTTGATTTCTGGGAAGTCGGGTGGTAGCCGATCGTTTTCGCCTATTTCTCCGCGACCAGAAAGGATTTTTAAATTCTTAAAGTTGCTCTGGCCTTTTCAGACCATTCCGCACCTTCACAGTTTATTTTTGATACTTTTTTAAAAAGTTTGCACGGCATCCCCAAGGGTGGGTTTCTCACTGACCAGGATCTTACAATACCTGCTCCACAAACATGTTAGGTTAGACTGTTTTCTATAAACACGATCAGCTGCACAAAATACATAAAATATAGGGGGAAAAAAATGTCATCTGTCTGGCAACATAAAAGTAGAGTACTCAATAAACTACACTAACTCCATAACTAATAAAAACAAGTTGGTGGTTTTATGCACCACACACGATGGTTGAAGTACCCTAAATGGTCTTTTCTATCATAAAATTTAAAATAACCACTTAAGAATCATAGACATAGAAAATCCTACAACAACACTGTCATTTATAAAGTTTCTATCATTAGGCTTCACGTTTCATCATTTTGCTAAGCTGGTATAGTTGTATCAAATGTGAAGTACCATTAGCAGTTAAAGAAAAATGTGAAGCACCATTAGCAACTAAAGGAAAAATGTGAAGCACCATTAGCAACTAAAGGAAAAATGTGAAGCACCATTAGCAGCTAAGGAAAAATGTGATGTACCATTAGCAGTTAAGGAAAAATGTGATGTACCATTAGCAGCTAAGGAAAAATGTGAAGTACCATTAGCAGCTAAGGGAAAATGTGAAGCACTATTAGCAGCTAAGGAAAATTGTGATGTACCATTAGCAACTAAAGGAAAAATGTGATGTACCATTAGCAGCTAAGGAAAAATGTGATGTACCATTAGTAGCTAAAAAACCAAGCAATTATTATAAAAATATAATCATTATGGAATATTTTTAAATATTATAGTTTCTTTCTAAAGAAATTCTAATATAAATAAAAATAACTAATTCATGCTTATATTATTGCTTTTAACATACTGCAGGTGCTTAGGAATTATTCACAAGCATAATATGTATAAACACAACCACAATACTATATTCCAACAGAATCTTTACATTTTTTTTTCAGCAGTAACTGAGTACCTTTTGAAACTGTCTTCTGCAGTTCCTGTATACTAACCTATTTTGCCAATTCCCTGGTAAGCTGTACAAGTATGGTGTCTGAATACTGTTGAGGTGTAAAACTACTAACAATGAACTTAAACTTAGTGCTGTGTCTTTGATTGTCTATCCAAGTTTCAAACTGTATAGAAATTAAGTAGGCAGAAAGAAAACAAAACATAGACACTAAGTACAGGAATGTGATTCATCCAGGAGACACAAGTTGTATTATATTACATAAACAGGACATATTGCACAAGTAAACTGCTTTTACAAAATCTTCTATGTTAAACAAATTAAGTTATTACATACCACTTCTGTTGATGCAAATTTATAGTTTTTCCAAATGATACAAGAACAGTGTTCAAAATTCCAATAAAATAATATTGGTCTAAAATTTATGATTTTGACATCAGCAACATGATCAAATTGCACATTTTTAAACAATCAAGAGCATAATTAATTAATATAGCAGTGACTGTTGAGGCACTCTGAAAGTTTGAAAGGAAAAAAAATGTTTGTATAGAAAATTACAATGCATTACCAGTTTGCCGACCACTCATTGAAAATTAGGTGAAAATAATCAAAGATACTTAATTAATATCCAAGGAAACCACATTGCCAAAACTACTTGTACTCAAAAATAAACTTCCTTTTATTAACTCAATTCAAGAAATATGGCAACTTGCAGAGTTTTAAGACCTGAAAATAGACTGTGTATCAATACACACTGGAAAAAAAAACATTATAGATAATTAAAATCATTTGAAAGTTCACATTCGACCCCAATATGAAGAAATAATTCTGATAAAAGCATGTACATTCTTTAAGAAAAAATGTTAAATTGCCGAACTATCGTAAACAAGTTTCACACCAATAACTCCATCTTAATATAAACTATCTAAAACAACAATAATTACTTGAGTTACCCAAACAACAGCTGTTTGTCAACCTGCTGATGTACTAGGTACACACATGTAACAAAACATATATTACCTCTTTATAGTAACTCAGCATTACAAGATCTAGTTCAAAAATGTTAACTTCTAAATCAGAAATGATGAAAGCAACATTTGAACTTAACAATAGTCCTATAATCTAATAAGTGTAAACGAAGCAACTACTTGTCAACTATTCATTATTACTGGTCCAGCAGAATTCTTCATTTCTTCGTTGGGTTTGGTTCAAATCTACATAAGAGCTACCTATGCTAGCAGTTTCTAATTTTAAATCAACAAACTAGAGAGCAAGCATCTAGCCAACACCACCCTCTGCTAACTCTTGTCAGAATGAACAGTGGGAACACGATTATTATTATTTTCTAGGTAATGGGATACGGACTACAGAACCTCATTCCAACATGTTAACCACTGAGCCGTGCTCAACCCCTTTTAAGTAAGAACTGACTATGACACACTTGTCATTGTAAGCCACATCTTTTGGATAAGTATGTTTCATATCCTCATTCAACTAACTCTCTCATCAAAATTAAGGATGAAGTCCTGTGGAAACATGCTACTTCTAGTTCAAAATTATTCCATGGCTTTGATTTTAAGGACCATTTAAAGGTGTGGTATTTACCTGGTCAAAATAAGTAAGAGAAGCAAGGTTCTTCCATTTTATGAAACCACATTTCCTTATATTATCATGGCTTGTTGTTTTGTTAGTAAATTTCTAGATTAAGAGCATCAACTTTTTTTCCTGAAGATGGGTAATTCAGAGAGTTAAAACAGACAACAGGTCCGAGAAAACATGCATAGAAACAGGTACGAAATATTCTTATTGAAGGAAATTAGGGCAGGATGTAGAAACAGAAAAAAGGAAGTAACATACATATGAGTAAAATTTGTGTTAGGTCGTGAAGTTGTGTTTACATTACTAATTTATTAGAATATTATTCAATAAGGCAACAGTATCATGAAAGTGATAGCCAAAACAATTAAATCCGAAAAGACTGATTAAAATATAAGTCATAATATCATACAACAGGGTACAATCTTGTTGAGAAACAAATTTAAAATAAATATTTATATGTAATTATTTCCATTAATCATTTTAATCTCTTTAAAGCCAGGTATCTCATGATTCATATTTGTTTATGAAAGCATTTAGTTTTTAAAAATTCTGCTTAATGGTGATATTTATGAGTTCTTAATTCTCATAAATGTAAATGCAGACACGGCAATATGCTGCCACCAGGTTACAAAGGGTTAAATATTTATGCACTGTCACCGATCAATGCGGTATTAAGTAACTGTCAGAAAAAATTATAATTTTATTAACTGTGAAAGTTAATTTTGTTTATTCAGTTGGAAGAAAGTGAAAACGATATTTACGTTATTTTTAGATATGTCTTATATATAACGAGAAAACTAGCTTGAGAAAAATAACAACACACTGAAGAAAAATCAAAAATCACCTACAGTGGAATATGGTGAAAAACGAACACCAACATCATGTTCTGTTTCAACTATTTTTGATTTTAATATTCATTTGTTTGCAGACATTTCCTTCTTTGTTAATCATACTAAGAGAGCTTGGAGCTTCTGTCTGTATATATAAAATATACTACATATGCATTGGAGGTTAGGCCTAGCAGAACAGTACAAGTAATTACACCAGTGAGCTTTGCCATCCCAGTAAACATGTGAAGTGTTAAATTTACCAAACTAACCTTAATAGCTAATCTTAAATGTTTCATTTAAACTAGCTAGATTTCCTTTAATGTCAATACGAGCAAAACTTACAGTTCTAAATAACCAATACATAATTAACTCTTATCGCACGCTGTAATGTACAGGTAACAAATCTATCTGTAGTTGAATGCTCTTACTTCCAGGTAACGGTCGAAATTAACCATGGAAATATTTTTGTTGGTTTCTAAACTGAACAGTGTTACTTTCTAAGTAATGTACACATTTATAACTTACCCAAATATACTTCACAAAAACGTTTTTTGTGCAAGGTAGGCCTATTTAAGTATGAAATCTGAAAGAAAACTTTTTTTTCCCATGTTAATGTATAGAAAAATTAAAGCTTTTCTCTGCAACTGGAGCCACAAGACCCTAACTTTCTTGGAACTCAACAACCTTCATTTCTAGTGGTGACAAAATTGAAGAATAACTTTGATTTCTCTATTGATGACGCGATCATTTGATTTATTGACTATATTTGCTGTCAACTGTCCATAAATGGCATTAGTTTAAAAATGAAGATCAACCACTTGGTTATAAATAATTTTACATTTCCCAGTCTACTAAAGTTAATACTGTAATTAGAAGATACAAAAATATATATATCAATCTGTTCTTCATACAACCATCACCAAAAGATAAAAAAAAACATCTTCTAGCTCTTGAGCACAAATCTATGCACCATGGTTACCAGCCTATATCACCCTGAGAGTTGGTTATAACTACTGCTCTATTCAACTCCAAAGGGGTGATTTATAGCTACAAACATTAATATATTACGTCTGAGGTGACTTATAAGAATACGACTAGAACTACTAATTTCTGGAACTGAATTTTAACAAAAGCTATCAACATTTTAAGGTTAGACATTTCAAACTATAACTTCTCTAAACATAACTGCATTCATGAATAACTATTAAAATGAAGTTTTGTTAATGACTTAGGGGCTATTCAAGTTAAACAGGTATCGTCATGCAACCTGGAGGTAAAGTTTACACAGAGCATCCCAATTTAAGGATGATCCAGGACTGCCTTCACCTCTTCCAAGTGTACTCATCTATTTTGAAGATAATCTTTACAGATTCTTCTTGTCATTTCTGCCTATAAGAATTACAAAGAACTCTATTTAATCAACCAAAAAAAACAAACAAAAAATATATTTTACTACAAAACAAACAAATGTTAGCCTTTGGCATAAAACTAATTCTGATTTCTAAAAATGGATCTGGTTTTTTTTCTGAGTATTTCTAGCAATTTATGGACAAAAGAGGACCCTATTCAAATAATTCGTAAAATTATATGGATAAAGCAAAATGTTATATGTACAAGAAACAAGCCTGGTTTAGATACAACACGTCTACCAAAGCTGGGCAACTCAATTAATCAATTAGCCATAAGCTTTGATTGCATTGATTAGTGTCATGTAAAATAATCAATTAATGTCACGTAAATAATGAACTAATCAAAATTAGTGTTTCTGACTGTTACCATTTTCAGTTATTCCAACTATCCAAGTCTTGTGAGAATAATCAAATTAGTTGAATGTATCAACTAATGAGCCTCATAATTACCTGATTATCAAATTCCACTAACTGCCCAGCTGTAATGTCTACAGTAATTTAAAACATATCTGCATGACATAAACTAGCAAAGAAGACAAAAGGTGAAAAGTATAAAAGCAAGCTTTCCAAACTCCTCAGTATGTTTGTTTGTTTGGAATTTCGCGCAAAGCTACACGAGGGCTATCTGCGCTAGCCGTCCCTAATTTAGCAGTGTAAGACTAGAGGGAAGGCAGCTAGTCATCACCACCCACCGCCAACTCCTGGGCTACGCCTTTACCAACGAATATTGGGATTGATCGTCACATTATAACGCTCCCACGGCTGAAAGGGCGAGCATGTTTGGTGGAACTGGGATGTGAAGTCGTGACCCTCTGATTGCGAGTCGAGCGCCCTAGCCACCTGGCCATGCCGGGCCCTCCTCAGTATGAAGAAGCATCATTACAGAAACTGATCGGTTACACCAAGTGATTCTTTATAACTGATTTATAATTTTCTATATAGACATATTGCAACATATCTGTTTAAAAACTGATCAAGTGATTCCTTATAACTCATTTATAAGTTTCTATCTGGACATATTGCAACATATCTGTTTAGAAACTGATCAAGTGATTCTTTATAACTCATTTATAAGTTTCTATCTAGACATATTGCAACATATCAGTTTAGAAACTGATCAAGTGATTCTTTATAACTCATTTATAAGTTTCTATCTAGACATATTGCAACATATCAGTTTAGAAACTGATCAAGTGATTCTTTATAACTCATTTATAAGTTTCTATCTAGACATATTGCAACATATCAGTTTAGAAACTGATCAAGTGATTCTTTATAACTCATTTATAAGTTTCTATCTAGACATATTGCAACATATCAGTTTAGAAACTGACCAATTACACCAAGTGATTCC